TGGACTGCCCTGCTCTGCCTGATTGCCAGGTCACATGCTTCCTGTTTGTGAAGGCTGTCAAGCAGGCACCAGGACTACCTCCCTCCCCTGCTCCTTATGCTTCATTCGCGAGCAGCATTGACCGTTCAATTTGGAGTGCCTGCTGCTCGCGAGTGCATAAAGTACAGTGCCAATCTAGAGCTATGAGGGGACCTTAACTCCTCAGCTCGTCAAGCCCCCGACATGACTGTGTGTACTGGGTGGGGGAAGGAGAAGATTCTGCACTGTGCGGCCCCGGCCCACAGGGAAATTTCCCTGTATCCCGGTTGACCAGTCCGGCCCTGGGGGGCAGTGTGTGCATTGAGGTGTTGTGTGCTTTTAGAGAGTGTAGTGGGTATGGGTAGGATTGGATCTTTATTACTTTACTTATTATTAATGTAATTGCTTTTAAAAAAAAAAAAAAAAATCCCTCCTCCATGTTGTTACCTTGCATGGAGGGTGAATAATCCAATTTCCTCGAAGTCCAGTGTGCTGGGTAATCCCAAATGGAAGGATCTACAACACCTCTGTCATGCACCTCCACCGAGTGCAGACCATCAGTAGCTGTCTTGCAAGCTCTTGAACCTTCTTTGTCAGAGCTTTGACATGGTAACCTGCAGAAGAACTCCGATGGTTATATATACTGGTCAGCCACTACATTATAATCCTGGCCTGTGAAGTGAATAACATGAATTATACTGTTACAGTAAATGTACAGTCAGTTCTTGATTTTCATGTGTTGGAAGCTCTTACCAGCAGCTCCTCCGAGTCCTCCTCTTGCGAGATTTGGAGCGTTGCCGCAGTTACCACGGCAATGCTCCAAATCTCGCGAGAGTGAAGTCTAGCCCTGGAGCTAGACTTCACTCCACACTGGACCACCAGGGAATCTCCACCGGACCACCAGGGATGGAGAAATGTCCCCCCTCCTCCTCACCAAAGGTAAGAAGGCAGGGGGGACATCAATATATTTTATTAAATACATTTTTTTTAAAAGCCTCCATACCCTCCTTCCTCTCCCACACACACACATACACTGCCCCCCCATACACACATACACTGCCCCCCCACACACACACATACACTGCCCCCCACACACACATACACTGCCCCCCTTACACACATTCACTGCCCCCATACACACACTGCCCCCCATACATAAAGTACCCTCCCCATACACACACTAACCCCACACAGACATACAGTGCCCCCCATACACACACTGCTCCACACACACACTGCAACCCTGACATACACTGCTGCCCTCACGCACTCACACATACTATACCTTTCACACACACTTCACCCCTAACACACACCGCTGCTCCTATGCCCTATATCCCAGCAGACCCCAGGTAAGTTGTTAAACTGTTCTTAAACGGTATGACTACTTACTCTGGGGTGGGATCCTGGCACTACTGGCACCATAACTACTACACTGAGCTGTAGTGGTTATTGTGCCAGGATTATTTATTTAAATAATCTACAAGTGCCCCTCCCGAGATCAGGCTCTGGATCCGCCACTGATATGGGGTTGCCTAGCTGCAGGCCGGTAAGAGTGCTCACGATACCCTCTGTCAACCAGAAGCCGCTTCAATGGGTACATGAGTGTCAGAACTGGACCATAGATCAATGAAATACGGTTGCCTTGTCTGAAGAATCATGTTTTCTTTTAAATCATGTGGATTGGTGAGTGTGTCTGAGTCGTTTATTTGGGAAGAGATGGCAACAGGATACACTATGGAAAGAAGGCAGGCTGGCAGAGGCAGTGCTATGCTCTGGGCAATTTTTTGTTGGGAAATCTTGGGTCCTGGCACTCATTTTAATGTTACTTTGACACGTACACATACCTAGAGATTGTTGCAGACCATGTACATCCTTTCATGGCAATGGCGTTCCCTGATGGCAGTGGCCTCTCTTGGCAAAATTTTTCAGGAATAGTTTGAGTGACATGACAATAATTTAAAGACCAAGGCTTTTTTGAGATGCAATGCGTTTGTGACCAAGGCCTTTTTGGCAGTTTTGCCATGTGTTCATTCTAATGGGAGAGCTCCCACTCGTGCTGCAGGTCCTTCACACAGAGATCATTGCTGGGCAGCTGGAAAAAGCCCAGCACTAATCTTGTCTTGCGGATTGGTTTGCTAGACCATTTCGGTGTACATGCCTTAGGAGTAGACATTTGCTGTGCATTTGCCTTAGGGCCACAGTGCTTCTCTATGGAGAAGCATTGAATTGATCCATGATTATACATCAAGGCGATTTCAAAACAGAAGGAGCTTTAACCTTGGCAAGACCAGAATGACATTATAGATGAGTTAATTTTATCCCTTGTCGTGAAGTATTTTATTTATAACCCTAGTTTCCCTTTAATAGGTTAACATAAAGAGTTGTATTACACAGATAAGTTATTATATGAACTACATTTGTGATTGCATAAGTATTTTAAGCTGTGCTGTGTAGGTGAAATTTCTTTTGTTTTTGTTTATTTTTTGTCTCATGTAGATATTATGGTTTTACTGTTCTGAAATGTTTGTTTTGATATGTTTCCCTCTCAGAAAGGCTAAGTTGCTATTTTTCAACAAAACAGAAGATGACATATTATGGAGAGACCAAATTGTGGACCTGAGTTTGACAAATGAGCGGTAAGGAATAATGAAAACGAACTCATATGGCTAAGTTAGTTTCCTCTTGATGTTCTGTTATTTTCGCCTTTCTTTCATAGTTAATATATACAATCACCAATACCTGCTGTAACTGCAGTTCCGAACAGTATTGGAAAGTGGTCCACAAAATAATTTCCTATATGTCAGTCACTGCTTTTCCCACAAACACACACTCAGCACTACTTTTGTACTTCCCTGCAGTGCCCATCTTCCAAGGCAAATCACTTTTGCTCAAATATTTGAAATAATGGAGTTACGATACACAGAATCTTGTAAGCTTTGAGTATGAATACAGTGATATGGCACTCCTGGCACCAAAACCACAAAGGTGCACTATAGTGGTTATGTTAATGGTAGTGACTCTTCAGGGTTGATTATGGTTAATAAATATTGGTTAGGGTTAGGTAAGGTGAGCTAGGATTTGCATTAGGTAGGAGTTGGCTAAGGTTGCACTTAGAAAATGTTAGGATTACAAGCAGCATGGAAGTTGGCTGGTACGGGTTTATTAACTAAAGTGAGAAATGCAATGTGGGGATTAAAAGTGGATTTCTAATTTTAGACTAGAACAATAACATTAAAAGCATTGAATTTTTCCAATTTAACTGTTTTGGCATTACATTTGAAATTTACTTTAAATTCATGTTGAATCCCTGACTGTTCTTACTTTAGTAAATAACATTGAGATCATGTTATGCCAACAAGTAACATTTTTGGGAAGCAAGCAAAGAAGCATGGCAAAATTAGGATGTCTGTAATTTGATTCTAGCAAAGAATGAAAACATTTCAAAAATAAATAAGCGACGGTGTATATCTTAACTAGGAGATACGTAAAGTTGCTTAGAGGGATATCTCCAGAAGAAAGGGTCTAACCCTAATTGTATGTAGAAAGATAACAAATTCAAAGTAAAGAGGACCAAACGGAGAATACTTTAATTTAAATAAATTATGTAAACTATCAGATATTATTTTGTTCTTATGCTTCCAAGTATTGGTGTGTGTAAGGAAACCAAGTATATTTAAACTTCATTCGGTAGTTTCCTCCCGAACCGCCAGAGCCTTAGTAATTATAGCTCTCCGTTCGGTAGATAAAGTAGACGAACCATATAGTAATCCCAATAGCTTCACAAGATGATTCCCTTAGTGAAACACACGAATCCCCAAACATCAGCCGAAGTCAAGTAGAAGGGTACAAAATGAACTAACTTTTAATGGGTGCACACAGGCTTTTATGCAAGTCCCCATGCAAGGGGACATCCCTCAGGGAGGGACAAACATTAACCAATCACGTACTGTAAAAAGATAACACACACCCACAGTTCACTCCCCTAGCTCTGGAGATATGTAAGTCTGATAAAATAATAACTTAATTATCTCCAGGCAGAAAAATCACATTTTCCCCAATAACTGGGACACCCCTTTATACTTGGAGTATCCCCACAAATAACATGTCCCCTGATAGATCTACAAGATACTCACAATAGCGAATATATGAGCATCCACTGGAAAACTAATAACCAAGAAAATAATTAATGTAAATAAATACTATAGAAGATAATAGATGGAAATACATGCAATAGAAGGATAAATATAGAAGTACTAACAGAAGATCAGACGGAAAATAAATAAATGCCAAATGGCTTGCCTCCCTTCCTAATGTCTCCAAAATAATCACTAAAATTCACAGACTTAGATTTTAATATAATCCTTAATAGGTCAATGTCTGCGACTAGTATCAGCTATAAATAAAAATGATGAGAGACTTTAGGGACTTGCTTATACCAAGTGGGGTTCAAAATTGCTCAAAGTAATATGAATATAATGATAAATTACACCACTTGTTAGTGGTATAAAGATACAAATAGCCTTAATAGGAAAGATTGAATAAATTAGAGTTGAGCAAAATAACAGGCTATATCAAATGTGATGATAACACACCATTGAAAAGATAGCTAACAGGGATAAATAGTAGTCAATTCTATAAAGGATTATTGAAAGAACGGCATCCCTATATAGCTAAATTCTGGATACTTAGTAAACAAATTAATCCAATAGGTAGTATCAAAAAAGCGATATTAGTGTAACTAAACGCTGTATATTATGTAATCCAATAGATAAAATGTATCCAAACAAGCCTTAGGTTATAAACTCCACTTATATAGGGTGTAAGGCAATAACAGAGGTAAAAGGCAATAACAGAGGTAAAAGGAAAGGTGATAGAGTGTTGGTTGCCTTCACATTGTGATAGAGTGCCGTGTGAAGTGAGAAAGTGAGGGGAAAGATCCCTCAAAACCTGCCAGGGGTCGCGTAACTAGTTAGCACGGGAAACCTCACCTGGCCCGGACACGGAAAGGATTGATAGCTCTTTCTTGATTCTGTGGGTGGTGATGCATGGCCGTTCTTAGTTGGTTGAGCGATTTGTCTGGTTAATTCCGATAACGAACGAGACTCCTCCATGCTAACTAGTTAAAGTGCAGGGCTTTAACGCTGATGACAGACCGTAATGTACTAAAAGTACCAGCAGGGGTTAAATCCATAATTTAGGAGAGGTTATATAGTGTGCATCACTGAAAGCTTCACTTGCTCCTCCTGCAAGGTATTTCATATTCCCTGTGTAAGAATATGTTATCCCTTTCACTTCCACTTCCTTTTCAGCATCACACATAGATATTGGCGGAGTTAGGACAGCACTGAACTTTAAACCCTCTATAACTGTTCCCACAGCTATGCTTTTAAGCATAGGACACTGACTGGATTACAGTGGACACAGGCGGCCAAATAACGCTTATTTATTTATCTCTTAGCCACCAGCCTATTTAAGCTCAAAAAGGCACATTATGAGTACTGAAAACATTCACCCCCTTGTAGACTGGTGCCTACTCTGCCTAATGTAAAATCCAACTCTGTTGTCAACAGTATTAAAAGAAGCAGAAAGATCCAGCAGAATTAATAAAGAGTACTGACCTTTAGATTTGTCAGAAATTGTCATTAGTCGCTTAAGTAGGGTCAGTATCAGTAGAGTGGAAGAAGTGGAAGCCAGATTGAAGACAAGAAGGGAGTTAGTATTAAAAAAGTGATTTAGAAGTGTGATACAGTTTAACATTGTGTTTGGCAGAATCTAAAAAGCTTTAGGGGTTAAATTATCTCTAACTGCAACAGAATCAAAGTTTCTAAACATTTGCAAATAAATATTCATATCTCTGTATATCAGGTTATTCAGTGTGGGTGACATCCTGAGGCAGGAGATCTGTGGAAAATGTCTGTTTGTCAGTTTCTTAAGAGAACAGGTCATTAAGGAGGCCGTTGAGGACAATTTGTATTTGTACCTTAAAATGTCCATAATCCATAGTTAAATAAAGGAACACTATAATGTCAGGAACACAAACATGTATTCCTGACACAATAGTGGTAAAAATAACGATTTAGGATCTGGCCCCTCTCTCTTTACTTTAAAAAATATGATTTTACTCCCTATGAGCAACTCGATGAGGAGATGCTGATTAGCACAGCATCTGTGAAAAGTGTAGAAACATGCAGTGTTTAGATTTAAAAAACCTACAGGGATAGGCCATAGACACCAGAACAACTACATTTAGCTGTAGTTCTGGTGACTACAGCTAAATGCCAAGTAATGCCAGGAAAGCCATTTTTAATAAAAAGGTGTGAGCTAGAAAGCCAAAAGAAAACTTGTGGTAAATCCAGGCGAGTGAATACCTCTTTTGTAACTTAAATGAACACTATCAAGAATAAAATAACAGGTGTCGAAGATTCCACAAGACGTGGACATCATTCGTAGATGATTTCACATTACATGTTAAAAGCATGTGAGAAGGTGCTGTTATCCATCAGATTAAAATGTAATGAAAATAACCTCAATAGTAACAGTGCTTAAAATAAAGAAGTTGTTTGCTTTTTAAAATGCACATATCATATAAGAAACTGTTTTTTTAAATATTGTCATGGGATTACTAAATGACAAATTACCATTACCTGAAATGTCCTTAAACTGCTAAGCTGCCATGAAAATGTGTTGCATTTTCAAAACTGTGATCAAACGGCTTTTTGTTTTTGTTTCTCAGATTTGAAATTCAGTTTATCCTTTCTGAGCCCAGTGCAAAATGGAATGGATGCAAAGGACGCATATCATTACCTTTTCTGTCAGAGACCATTACAAGAAGTGAGAGGGAATCAAAAGTGCTAATTTGCATTTGTGGCCCAAATGGATTTGTTGACCAAGGGATAAGGTAAGAAATAAAAAAAAAATGAATGTCTCTAAGATTGATTCCAAGCATTCCCATGACTAAGAATAAGTTAAGAAAAGGGCATATGCCCTGAGTTTTAAGAAGATAGGCATGTGACACAGACATAAGGAAGACTCCAAGAGTCATGGACAGGTGAAATAATGAAATCCTCAAATAGAGGATAATAGAGTCCCTTAATACATTAATAACTAGTGACAAATGCAAATGTTATGAATAAACTTGTACAGACTGGTGAAAATAAAAATTAGGAGTAACAAACAATTACCCACATTAATTTAAGTCTTAAGGCTCGATTTTGCAAAATATTAACCCTTACCAACTATTCAGTAAGTCCCATCCAGGAGTACATTCTTCATTATTTATTACATTAGGGGTATCTCAACTGAACTGTAATAATCTATACTGAACATGGGAGTCGCAACTCCCCTACAGCAAAATACAGCATAATATCTAGTAATCTCCGGTATGATCAGTGAATGATAAACTGTTTAAATACAGATATATAGTTTGGGAATCACAATTTGTCAGCAACAATGTTTCTCTATGTGAAAACCAATAAGGTGAAGCACTGTAAAAGAAAGGTACATTCTTTCTTATTTAGCTTTAATGCATTAAGATGGCTCATTCAAAGTTAAAAGGGTAATCCAGACGTGGACCCCGTGCTCACTATGCCTTGAGGGGTATCGGCTACACCTCACTGACGAGGCCCACAAGAAGGCCGAAACTATCGTCTGGGGTTGCTGTATCTCTCATGCAGAGGGATCTTGCTGGCATTTCGAATCTGGACTGCCCGTACGGGTGGGACCAGTCTGATATGCTTCATATATGTTCTCTCTGTAATGGAACACGTTAGCAAAAACAATTTTGAGACCTGAGTGGGGATGTACCAAAGGGCAAGCTATTGAGTTTACTCTAAGCTTTTGTCCGTTCTCAGAGTTCTCATTCTTTCTTTTTTTACGTTTTAAGATATATTCTTCTAATGGGCTTGGCATATAAAAAAATAAAACAAAAAATGGAAAATAAAATAGTGTAATATTTTTAGTTCAGAGCTAATGTGTTTTACACTCCACCTCCTATAGATTGTAAGCTCGTTTGAGCAGAGTCCTCTTCAACCTATCATTCCTGTAAGTTTTCTTGTAATTATCCTATTTATAGTTAAATCACCCCTCTCATAATATTGTGAAGCGCTGCGGAATCTGTTGGCGCTATATAAATGGCAATAATAATAATTAAAACACATGTAATGCACTGACATGAAAAGGAGACCTTTAGTAGACCTGTGCCCAAGTGTTCAAACAAGTAATGTTTAAAAGTCAACCTTCTCAACCTTCTTTTTGATGTACATTTCCATCTTCACAATGTGGTGTTAGGTGTACATAGGAAAAGAAAATGCATATACTGTGGGAAAAATACATGCTGAATTAATATATAAGTAACACGTACCACCTACAGAGCCTTTGACCCCTTGCTCTGACATATATAGATAATGTGGCAATATGGGAGATACCACCCATAAGCAACAGCAAAGTGATGTAGAAGCCAGATGAAAAAAGGAAAGCGATTTATTAAAACAAGTTATTTATGAAAACTCCTAAATCCGGCACTTGGGAAAACTCCTTATTGAGACATTAAAGCTCAAAGAGATTAAAGTTTTTCAATCAGTATGCCGCTGAACATTGAAGACACTGGATTAATTTCCTGATTAGTCAATGTGTTCCCTCATCCGTCTAATCAAGGTGGAGTCTTTCCACACACCTCCAGTCTATCAAATGAATGTGAAGAAACCTCACTGAGGCATGTGAGAATCTTGGACGGCTTGTCCATCCTCATGAGGGAAGGTGCTTAATTTCCATTGAAGTTTTTACTTTGTACTTAGGCCACAAAAAAGACTTTGCTGAAATGTCACAAGCATTTTATACAGTGTCTTAAGTCCCATTCCAACACATAAAAAAAACAGGAGAAAGAATGAAAAAAAGGATTTTTAAAGTAAGTCAGCACAATAATACGAAATAACAATTTGACAAACACACTTGTATTGACATACTCAGAATTTTCATTAAAAGAGGCTTCAACACATAAATGCTTTTATGCCATTTAAAGGGTCAGTATGGATATATATGCTGCTATAGGATGTATTCCAAAACAAATTGTACCATTTAAAAAAAATATATTAAAACCATATACATAATTTGTATGTCAAAAAGTTGAATAATAACCAATTTATACTAATCCCTTAAAAGTGGCAGGATTTAGGTTGACCAGATGGCAGGTTAAGGAATGATTAGGGATGAAAGGTGCAGTAAAATGTTTTGTGGGCCTGCTTAGATAATTAGATTTAGTGTATGAGAGGCTGAAATTGTGGTAAAGGAACACACCAATTAAGGAAAACATATATACATATATTTTTTTTTTTATCGGAGTTGTTTTCAAGCTCTTTAGACCACACACATAAACGATGCTTCTCATTCAGTATTCAAAAGCAAGTGAGGCAGTCTGCTGGGATATGTTAATAAGGACAGTTGTAAAAGTGACAATTTGTAATTCGTTCTTCATTCGTTCATTTAGTTTATTACAAGGAGAGAGCTAACATCTTGATGTTCCTTCCTTGTAATATTTAAAAATAAAAGCAGTGCTCCTTGCCACTTCCTAAACCCTCCTATGCTCCCCTTCAATATGACCCCCATGTTTGTATAAGAGTAGTTAAATTCTCCCTCCTGCGTCTATTCCCTGTGCCGCAAGTAAGGGGCATGTCTGCTAAACAGCGAGTCACCAGTGGCTGCTCACTGTTGTAAAAAAAGCACCACAATCCAATAAATTGCCCCTATGGTGGATCATGTATTAGAATAGTTAACAAGTGGGGACATAGTGTCCCGCGAATGAGGGCTGTTAAACTAAACAGGGAAACAAGGCTCCACCCATTGGTGGCAGATGGGGACCCTAAATGTTAATGGGACACCTATTCCCCAACAGCTGTACCCCGACTCTAAACAGCCGTTTTGGAATGGCGGAGATGTACCACAACCCTAAATGCCGCCCACCGAACGTCTGAAAGCTGAACACCCCCACACCCAAACCGATTCGAGCTGACCAGTTCCCCGATCCAAAACGCTCCGAAGAAAGCCAAGAGGAACAAACCCGACTCATTCCCATTGAAGCAAAGCCCCGGCAGACTGCGCACCAAGCCACCAGGTAAGTCGAGCTAGACTGGCCTCCTCGTGTCAGGGACTATGCGCCCCCTCTGGAAACCCTTAGGGCTCACT